TATATATATATGTGTGTGTGTGTGTGTGTGTGTGTGTGTGTGTGTGTGTGTGTGTGTTTGAAGAGCAAAAACCTGAGTCTTAAAACTTTTTTATCCAGTCTGCACTTAAAAACATTTAACTAGCATGACATTGTCTGGGTCGTAGTCCAAAGATAAATTATTCCACTTATCAGAGGATTTGTTTTCTTCACTGCAGTGGGCAAGTGATCTTGTGCACAAATGAAAAGTAACAGTAAAATTGGGGGGGGGAAGTGCAGCGCGTCCTTAGTACACTGTATTGGCAAAAGAGCCAAGAGTCCACCGTCCAGCCTCGCTGCTGATGCCTGCTACCCGGAAACATTAGGAGGGCCGGAAAGGACCGATGTTTGGGGAGCACACGTCATTCACTTTTTTTTAACCCCCAAATAATTAGCGACCACCACCATTCCAACCTTTTCCACCGGCTAATAGTGTTGCTAAGCCCCTTCTTTGCTCCCCGTCAAGGCTTGAGTTGGATGCGGAAGGACGACGGCATTATCGGTCTATGATTGATTTCCGTGCAGAGGGAGACAGGCGGGCAAACGAGTTGCCGGACTTGCATTAGCCTTTTGGCTCGGCGTTGCTGAAAATGGCTCTGGCTAAGCACTGGATCACAGCACGCAGCAATGGAAACGAGCGCTAGCTACTAGCCCGTGGCTAATAGCTAGCTCGGCTCGAAGAAGAAGGCGTGACAGGCCGCATCCGTCTTTCACGTTCTCCACGACCAGGTATGTCTATATTATGTCCAAACAATCTAATCCAGGTCGACAAAATTTACTGTTAGCATCCCAAGTGTAGCTTGCGTATGTTTTATATGGATGTTTGTGCTATGGCTAACGTTAGCATGGTGCAAGCCCCCCCCCGACGAAGACAGAACAGCTCCACTCTATCGGGCCAGTTTAAATGATCTAAACCTGTGTGATTTGTAGAGTTTCTAAATATTTTTCCTCACCACTTTTTTCCTATTTCTGTGAATAAAGGCGCCTTCCTCAAAATGGCCCATTGTTAGTTAGCATGTTTTAACCCGCCTCCAGTGTTTACACTGTGCAGCAAGGGCAATGCTAACGTGTGCGCTTCTTTTCTTCGGTTTTTTTCTCCAGCAGCAGCAGGATTGATGCTTTACCCGAAAATGCGAATCGGCCCATACTACGATAAAAAAAAATCCCTCGCTCATCACTCGGGGGAGCTCGTTGTGCAAAAGCTCCTTAGGATCGATTGGAGGAAACGGTAAGAAGTGAAGAGGTGAGCCAAAAAAAAAAAACAAAACAAAACACGACGTACAAAGTGAAACATTGGAATGCAGCCAGATTTTTTTTCACATGTTTACAAATGCAACACACAAAAAGGAATACATCAAAACTACTTTGCATTCGATTTGACCATGACTTTATATAAAACTTGCCAAATCATATTACCAGTTAAATTCCCCATTTGTATATGAAACCAAGGAAACCGCTGGATTGCTTTGTTTACATTGGTTTTAAGATTATAGTCTCCCTGAAAGAATTTACAATGTCATGAGAGCAATATTTACACTTATACACTCATTAATATTTAGGGAACCACCAGTAAGATGAAAGCGATATACTGTATTTAAAGTCTATTACTTCTACCCAACGTGTTAATATTTTGCCCCCATTACAAAAAATGACTCGAGCACTGAGGATTGGATGAAAATGATTTACGATTATTTACAGGCATTTTGACCGACATTTACTATGATGCAATGCGTCACTAAAGAAGCGTTTCATCAGTAAAAGGTAAACCCAAGTGAGTGGAGTAGTGGTGACAAATGAAGTGGGATTGGGTAATTTTCCCACAGTGTACAAGGGCGCCTCGACACCCTGGTTGATAATCACTGATGTTAATGCCGTCGAGACAAGATTTATTAACAATTGTGCCTTCACAAAGATGATCAAGTGCAATTTTGATTGACTCTGTCATGGTGGAATGATATGAATAATGCATCCTTGTCACATTAACACATCTGACACTCTCAATCAAAATGAAGCCTTGTCAAGGCCTAATTTGTCAAATAGTGCTCGTATCAGATCTCGCTCGACTGCACAAGTTGTCATCATGTAAATGTTTGGTGTATGTTCTCGGTATTTTATTTTAATTTTGATTATTTATTTATGGGGGGGGCGGGTAATCATCTCTCACTAGTGGCGATCTGGTGGTCGATTAGTACACGTGTCGACCTCACAGTGCAGAGGTTGTAGGTTCGATCCCAGCTCCAGCCTTCCTTTGTGGAGTTTGCACGTTCTCCCCGTGCTTGCGTGGGTTTTCTCCGGGTCCTCCGGTTTGCTCCCACATTCCAAAAACATGCATGGCAGGCTGGTTGAACACACCAAATTGTCCCTAGGTGTGAGTGTGGGTGCGAATGGTTGTTCGTTTCTGTGTACCCTATGATTGGATGGCAACCAGTTCAGGGTGTCCCCCGCCTACTGCCCGAAGACAGCTGGGATAGGCTCCAGCACCCCCCGCGACCCTAGTGAGGATCAAGCAGTTCGGAAAATGAATGAATGAATCTCTCACTAGTAAAAGTGAGACGTTTGAACATTTATTTATTTAGCGTCAATGTGCTCCTACCCAGCAGAACCACTTCAGGGTAAGTTGTAAAACGTCAAATGCTCAATATAATGACTTATCCGAAGTGGCTAAAGAACATATTGCAATATATTACGATGTTTGTTGTTTTTTTTTATTTTTTTTATTTAAGTACCCCACATGATGTGTTTTGTATTAAACCTTTTCTAAGTATGAATTGCCATGTTGACACTTGGTTGACCTAAATCTGCCACACTAGCTCAAATTGTTCAAAATCGGAAAAAGACAATTGGTTTCTTTGGTGTTTGGAATCCAAATATGCCGTTGAATAAAGAAGCACCGCTGGCTACTGGATGAGACAGGAAGACAGGAAATGTGACCATCCGTTACAGTTTGCAAGTGACGGCATAAAAAAATTGAACTGAGTCAATAGCTTTCTCAACTTGGTGTTACTTAAATGTCCGTCAGTGATGGAAGATATGACTTCCTTCTGTGACATGTATTTTTCTTTAACTTTGTGTTTTTTTCAGCGTCAGGGTCTTCTTGGCTGAAGACAGATGAGGATTCTCACTTAGATCAAGGAAAATGTCAAAGAAGTAACTCGCAAAGGAAACAAGAGGAAGTCGATTGAGCTGCTTTGGTAGAAATTATTCGAGGCAAGTTTGAAATTAGGCGGACCACTTTTTCTTTTTTTGTTTTTTTTTTGAAATACTTGTGAGCTTCCCAGCTACTCCACTGCTTTTGGAAGTAAATTGTGAGCAGTGGATGATCGCGGGTACCGACGGCCGATTTTGTTCAGTCCAGATAGGAAACTTTTTAAGTGACTTTCAAGCGTCTCTGGATAAAACCTTTTGACAGAAGCGTCTTTAGGCTTTTTTTTTTTTTTTCCTCCCCTTACTTCACTACTCTGTGTTGGGACTCTTGTTGCTGCTCTAAGCACTGGAGGTTTGACTTTGCACTCCCCCCCTCCCCCATGTGCATGTGAGTGGGAAATGTTCCAGTTTGGAAAATACAATTTGGACATAATAGAGATGTTAAGTGGGCACCAGGCCCACCAGTTTAAAGGCCTTGGTTTAGACCGACAACTGCAGCATCAGCAGCAAGTGCAACTCCACCAGCACCAACTACAGCAGCAGCAGTTTCAAGCGTCTCTGGATAAAACCTTTTGACGGAAGCGTTTTTAGTTTTTTTTTTTTTTTCCTCCCCTTACTTCACTACTCTGTGTTGGGACTCTTGTTGCTGCTCTAAGCACTGGAGGTTTGACTTTGCACTCCCCCCCTCCCCCATGTGCATGTGAGTGGGAAATGTTCCAGTTTGGAAAATACAATTTGGACATAATAGAGATGTTAAGTGGGCACCAGGCCCACCAGTTTAAAGGCCTTGGTTTAGACCGACAACTGCAGCATCAGCAGCAAGTGCAACTCCACCAGCACCAACTACAGCAGCAGCAGCAGCAGCAAGCCGAGTCGTCTGGAGCTCTTCTGTCCGGACTTGGCTTGGGCCCCCTGCAGGGGTCAAGAGGTAACGCCTTTTCTGATTCTGCCTCCATTTTTGCCAAGATGAGTGCCCCTCCTCCCCCGCCTTTACAACAGCAGCCTTCCTCATCCCAGAGCTCTCGTTCAAAGTCAAGCAAGATGAGCAGCAGCAGCAGCTCAAGCCATTCTTCAGGCTATCCACAGTTCCTGCGCTCTTTCCACCCGTCTGAGGCAGCACTAGCGCAGGAGCAGTTGCACCCGAGCGCAGGCCGCTTTGAGCACTTTGCCGGAGGAAGTAGCAGTAGTGCGAGTGCTGGGGGATTAGGAGGATTAGTCACATCCGCACCTCCACCCCCACCTCCTCTGCATCCCGGCCTCTCTGTCCCCCAAGCATCATCCGGCCCCTCCTCGTCCTCCCCTTCCCCTTCAACCTCTGTGGCCACCTCTAACAACCCTTCTAGCAGCAGTGCAGTCAGCTCCTTGGGACACCAGTTGGTTGGGGCCCAGTCTGATGCACGGAGCCTCCACCAACAGTTTAGTTGCATGCTAGCGGCGAATCAGTACTTCCTTTCTGGGGTGCCCGCTAATGCCAGTTTAGAGCAGTTTCTCGTTCAACAGGGTAGCCATAACCATTTAGGGATCGGTTTAAGTCAGACCGGTGGGGAACCTAGCGCGAGCCTTGCTCCGCCCCCGGCGCTGCATTCCTCTCACTCGCATAGCCACTCGGCTTCGCAATCGCAGCAGGCTCCGCCGCAGCCCGCCCAGCAGCAACAGCTTCCGCCTCACACCCTTTCTCATCCTCACTCTCACTCTCATCCTCACCACCCGCTGCACCCCGGCTCCCAGCCCTCGTCGCTGGGCGGCTTTGACTTTCAAGGCATCCCTGTCCTCTCGACCAATCAGATTGCTTCACTGATGCAGCAGGAAGGAGGTTTGCCGCTTCCCTTGCCACTTCATCTGTCCTTGTCTAAGGATGATGGTAAAGTGGAAAGCACGGGTGGTGGAACCGGTAGCAGTAGCACGAGTAGCAGTAGGAGGAAGAAAGCGATGGCTGGCTATTTGCCCCAGCGAAAATCGGAAAGCACTAGCAATGGCCCCGGCAGCCACGGTAACCCTAGCGCGAGTGGTAGCAATGGAGCACTTAGCCATAGTCAGCCCCCGGCTTTAATTGGAAGTGGGGTGGGCTTATCCAATCTGGGCGGAGACCCCTCATCCCTGCTTGCTTCATCATCTTCATCCTCATCCGTAGTTTCTTCTTCCTCCTCCTCTGCTCCCTCTTCCTCCGCTGCCTCAGTACTGGTTACTAACGAGTCTCTCCTTTCTAAATCTGATAACCTGGGCTCCATACAAGCTAACACCACAGAGTCTGATACCGAGTCGATTTATAGCTGTGGAGAGTGTGGCAAAAGCTTCCCTCACCTTTCCAGCCTGCGCAGGCATATGCGTATGCACGAGCCAACTGCAGCTGGCACGAGCAAATCTGCCACGACTTGCCCAAATCCCGTGCACATTAAAAGTCAGTCCGACCCGACCCTGCCCCATTCGACCCAAGAAACTCCCCGGCCCTTGTCCAATTGTTGCCCGAGCCCAGACAAAATATTTCATTGCCCCGATTGTGGGAAAGGCTTTAAGAAAAAAGGACACCTCCTGCAACACGGTGTTCTACACTCCTCGGCCCGCCCGTATGGCTGCTCCACCTGCTCTCGGGCTTTTAATCGTAGGGAGTCACTGACACGGCATGAGAAGATACATGAGGAAAAGCCATTCCGATGTCCTGCCTGTGGTCGTGCCTTCCGCGAGAGCACCTCTCTACTCAACCACGCTGCCTCAGGCACCTGCGGCAAGCCAGGTAGGGGACCCAAACAACGAGGCGGCAAGCCAGGAAGCAATGGTGAGGACAGGATAGGGGGAGGGAGCGGAGGAGGTAACGGAGGAGGGGGAACTTATCCGAGCAATAGGGGGGTCATTTATGGGAAAACGGAGGAGAAGGAGGGTGTTATCATTGTTGGGGAAGGAGAGCAAAAATCAGGTGTAGGATGTGATCTGTTTCAGTCTGCAAGGGGAGGGAATTCAAATGACAGGGACAGAGCCGATGGTAAATACCCCACTGACTACTCTCGGAATCGTTACACAGGCTACCATGAAGACCACCGTTCTCAAGGTAATCCGTCTCCATGCTACTCTGGCGCATCCCCCTGTGGAAGCGGGATGGCCGGCCCAGCTCTGAGAAAGGCACCCCTGGCCCCAACACTGCATCCGCACTCTCAGAGCCACAACCAGCACCATCATCCGCAGCAGCAGCCGCAGCCGCAGCAGCCCCACCTGCCCCTCTCCTCTCTACTGGATGACTCAGAGGATGATGTCACTAGCTCCGTCAATAATGCAATCTCCGCCATCACTGCGGCAACTGGAAATAGAGACGACAGGGGCGACATCATAGGAGGTCTACTCGGTGGGCTTGGCCTCGGCCCCCTGGGTTCACCCTCAACCTCTGGCATGGACAAGAATTTCCGAGGTGGCGGCAACCAGGAGGCGTTGAGCAACAATCCACAGAATCCCGCCGCGAAGCCCAAACGTCCCCGCAAACCCAGAGCCAAGAAGGACCCATCGGCCGATGGGCAGCCCCCCAAACGTAGGCAGTACACGCCGAGGATGGGAACCAGCGGGCTCCCTCGCACTCACCTCTGCAGTGTCTGCGGGAAGGGTTTCGCACGCCGCGAGACTCTTCGCAGGCACGACCGCATACATACCGGAGAAAAGCCTCATCACTGCACGGTTTGCGGAAAGTATTTTCGGGAGGCTTTCCACCTTAGCAAGCACCAAACGGTTCACTCTGGGGCTAAGAATTACAAATGCAGCATCTGCGGGAAGGAGTTTGGTTACTCCCAGAGTCTCAGGCGGCACAGCAAACTCCACCAGAAGGGGGAGATTGAAGAGGTGCCCGCAACGCCTGCTCCGGAGAACATGAATAGCTTTAATCCCAACCCTCAATGCGGTGTGACCCAAGACGGCAGCCAGAACCAAGTACCAAGCACCTCCTCCTATTATTCCTACCCTCAAGATGTCAAGCCTCACGATTCGCAGCCTCCGGCTCGTCTCTACACCTGTGCCATCTGCTGGAAGTCGTTCCGCCACCACTTCCACCTGACCGCTCATCACCAGACGGTTCACGAAGGAGGGGGCGAAAAGCATTTCTGCTGCGAGGTGTGCGGTAAGGCCTTTGCTTACTCCAACAGCCTTACCCGACACCGGCAGTCCCAGCACGGAATCACCCGCGGGGAGCCGTCGAACCCTCAAGAAGGCGGCGGCGGCGGTTCTGCGGACAACAGGGGAGGGAGCGATGTGAACCAGTCGGCGTCCGAGAGCGAGGCTGCCACCAATGCCCTGCTTCAGATGGCCCCGGCCACCGACGGCCACGGGCCTCCGAGTCTGAACGTTGTCACTCACGGCCACCAACAGGCGCCGCCGCAGGCACCGGCTGGTTATTCGCCTCTCTTTTATGACGCGACGGCAGCCCAGTCGTCGTCTTCCGGCGCCCAGTCCTACTCGCAGCCTCTGCCCCCCAATTCCACCGTCATGCCGCCCCACCACCCGCACTCCCCCGCCGGGGTGAAAGGGGAGCACATCTATCCGGCCGGATCCCGCAGCCGCACTCTACACACCACGGCCCCGTTCCAGCCCCTCACGGAACTGCCCTCCACCGAACATCACCATCTACATCATCATCATCATCACCCCCACCTTCATCCTCCTCATCATCAGTCAGGTGTCCAGCCCCAACAACACCTCGACTGCAGCAACCCGTTGCCGCACGATGAGATCAGACGACACAAGAAGAAAAAAAAAAAGTCCGATAGGAGAGAGCGGCAGGGAACAACTCAGTACGAATCCCAAGACGTAGTCAGATTTGACGGCGGCCACAAGAAGAAAAAGATAAGTTGCACGGTCAGGGGGCAGCCGAACAAAAAACAAGTCTCTCTTCGCTTGACAATTAGGCGGGGAGAAGGATCTGGCGGCGGTGGGTATAAACTTGTCCACACCGCGGGCGTCAAGGTTCAGGTCCTGTCGTCCTTAAAAGTTCCCGTGAAGCGTTTTGGCTGTCCTATATGCCCCGGTTCGGTGTTTTCCCGCAAAGCGGGTCTGCTCGTCCACATGTCAATTAGACACCCACAAAAAGCCCAAAGCACTCGAGAGCGACTTCGGTGCAGTGTATGTGGGAAGCAGTCTCAGAGGCCCCTGGCAGCTTTTGTCCATCGGGCTTCTCATCGCGCCAGAGGGACCTTCTCCTGCCAGTGCTGCTCGGCTCGCTTCTGGAACGCCGTCCTCCTCCGAAGGCACAAGGGCTCCTGCAGCCCCGTGGCGAAGGGAGCGCGGCAAGGCGAGGTGAAGAAGCCAACGCTCTTAAAGAGACCGAGAGAAAGACAGCCCCGAGATGGTGCTCAGGGTGACACGCCGTACCACCCGCTGGGATCGTACAGATACTGAGCATCCTGGTGCCCGGCCCCCCCCGATGACAAGAAAGGGACTTGGAAAAAGGAATAGGTTTGACACTCTGCTGAGTTGAGGACTGAGTGTGGTAACAACTACTGTAAAGCATCCAATGAAATCACCTGAAATGCTTCCAGATTCTTTTGGAATGTCTTTCAAAAAAATGTGACTGTTTCCATAGGATCACTAACCCCTTAAGTGCATTGACACTACGCTCGGCAGACACTGTGCAGTCACTAGGCAAGTTTAGATAACCTTCCCTGCACACGTATCGCTCCTATTCTAACCCGCACAGCTTTTTTTTTTTTTTTTTTTGCTGTACGATAAACTGTGTCTCTGCTGTGTACTTTGTATGGTTCATGTAGCACCTCTGAGGATTTTTATTTTATATTTTAACATGTAAAGTGCTTTTTTATTAGGAATAGGGACTTTGGGATGAAGACATTTGTTGATAGTCTGTCAGTGCATGTTTGTTCTCCGGTCAAGTTTTTTGCTGAGATGATATGTGATGGCTTATTCAAGTATATCCCGGAAGTTTGTAGTGTAAATTTGATATACACCCTAGTGATTATAATCACATATAGATAAAACATGTTGGTGGTAATTAGTATCAAGGGTCTCTCTCTCTCTCTCTCTCTCTCTCTCTCTCTCTCTCTCTCTCTCTCTCTCTCTCTCTCTCTCTCTCTCTCTCCCCCCTGCCAAAATGAAGAAACTTACAAAAAGCCTTGCTTTTTACGTTGGCTTCATTTATTTCCTTTTTTTTTTCCTTAGCTTTTATACCAAGGGATAGAACGCAAGGTACAGTAAACAAGTGAACTATAACACGTTTGTCTCATGTTATTTGTATGCTCTTTTTAGCAGTGACTATTTCTACAGTGCTTCACTTTGTGTTTAAGAAAAGGACCTATTCTCGAAGAGCAAATGTACTCTTCCACATATTTATGTATGTAACCGTATTCATACCAATCTTAGACTGAACCGCAACCTTTTAGTGTGTGCTGAGTCGCAATCATCATCTGACTGTCGTGCTTTTTTTTTCTTCTAAAAATGTTAATTTCCTCACATGAAATGTCCATGTCTGTTTCATGCCTTGTTTTTTTTTCTTCTAAAGAAAAAAATCTATAGTTTTAGTAGATTTCTATCACTTTATTTACTGAAAAGCCAGTAGTTGATTATATTTGAAATGAATAAACCTTGAGTGTAAGAACTGGTTTGCCTTTCTTGATCCAAGCCAAACGCAAAGCGATGCGGGGGTCATTCCGGAATTGGAGGACATTTGGGCTTCAAAATTCTTGAAACGTATGCCTTCGCCGTTGTGATTTTCTGCTACAAACCCATCAATAATAATCGTAAAAATACAAATAGTCATACCTCGGTTTTTGACCATAATCCGTTCCAGAAGGCTGTTCGAAAACCGAAACCACACTCTTTAAAAAAAAAAAAAAAAAAATCTTTATGAACACTCTGCCCACAATCTAAGGCTACAAGAGGAAGCGTCACTTTCTCGTGTAAGGAAGGCGAGAAGAGTCAAGCGGTGCATTCAAGTGCGCCCAGATTGGTCGAGAACCAATTTTCGGTCGTAACCCGAGACATAAAAAAATTCGAAATTTATGGTTGAAAACCGATTTGGTTGAGAACAGAGACGTTTGAAACCGAGGTTTGACTAATAGATTCTCAAGGAGTCGAAGCGACGCTGTCCCTCAAATCACGGCAACAGGATTGCAAATCCTGCCCACTGTTGCCTTTCTCTACCGGTTGTTTATAAACATTCGCTGTGATGTATTTGTATTTGACAAAAGGTTCCGTTAGTTGATATGGCGACTACTCCCGTCGACGACAGAACCTGTGAAAGAAAGAAATCAAAAGCCAGCCACTGTCATTGTACGTCCACTAGGTGTCAGTAAATGACACCGGACCGCGGTTCCCAAGCTCCAGTGTGGCTTGGCCATCCAAGTCACGTGGACTGACACTGTGATAAGGCACAATGCTGCGTGGCTGCGAATTCTGCCCGTGCTTTCCCCCATGAAATGGAACAGGGGAAGAATGTATGCATTCGCATCTCTCTTGAGCTGCGACCAGTTGACCTACATTCCAAACAAAACTCAGACCGATAGCCCCGGTGGACTGCACTAATTTGGGCAATGCTCAAAATGTACAGCAGCCTAAAAGTTGTAATGATACGAAGTCTAAACCGGTGAGTCCGAATCACTGTTCCGCGGCCCATCGCTGTGAGTGAGAGATCGTCAGGCATGCTTCGGGGAAATTACCTGAGTTCCCATAATTGAAATTACCTGAGTTCCCATAATTGGTCTGAAGGTTACTTAAGTATCTATCTAGTCCAGGGATGTTAAGTGACAGGCAGGGCAATTAAATATGCTTTTCTTTTGGCAGGACGTACATCAAGCTGAGGTCAATCAAGCCTCAGTTCGTTTACATTTAATGACACAGAGCTGGCCTGGGCCAGCAGTTACCCCAGGCCCTGGGGTAACTGCTTGGGACGCGGTGGCTGCCTGGGCACCGCTCCCCCAAAAATTAGGATTTTTGAAATGAACGTGGTGACACGAATATCAGACTCGTGTTTAATTCTGCAAGCCCAACACTTTTATCGGTGGTAGTAGAGCAGAGCTATGCTATTTCTTTGACTCTCCTTGGGCTGGCACGGATCCCGGTCAAGTATTTAAGGTCATGTTGAAGGGTTTGAAATCTTGACAAGATGTAATTAATTTCTCAACATTACGAGCGTTTTCTGTAACCACATTGTAAGAAGCAGTTTCTTTTGAAAACCAAATACAAACTTGGATTAAGAAAAAAACACAAGTAGCAGCGTTTCAAAAAAGCTGAAGAAGAAAACTCAGCCTACCCTCGTGTTACGTTTCTTCAACTGGTTTATTCCAATATTGACAGTTTCTGTACACAAAATTGACACACCTACGAAACATATTAAAGGAATTTAAGGTGACACATCAAATTCTGATGGACAAAGTGTAGTAACATTTAATAGTAGTAAATCAAAGATGACGCAGTGGTAGTCAGGGAAAACTCCCAAATCAAGTTTGGGGCGCCCGCGATTGCTTGGGGCTCGTCCTCGAGACGACCTCTTAAACGTTAGACCAAAAACAAAAATGACGTTAAAAGGGTTATACATGGAATTGTCAAGTCCTGATACGACTCCAAAATCAAATCTGAATCCATGTCTACGGTCCCCTCTTCTGTATTGGTTCACATCATGGTTAATTTTAAGGTGTTCTCACGCTTGTAAATGATTCGCCCGCCAAGGGTGTCTTCGAGCCCTGTCAACTGTTTACTTGTAAACTCGAGCACATCCGTCTGTGGGCCGTGCAGAATTGGATTCCTGTGGCGCGCAGTTTTGCTTGTGCTCGGGTACAGCATAACGAGCTGGGCCGCCCTCGTGCCGTTTTTTTTTCCTCCTTCCAACTCGCTCTCACGCGGCTCGAGCATGCACGGAGGGAATCCGAGTGGGCGGGACTGGCCGACCTACTTCTGGCCAATGGGGGATCTCGGAGACGGCGCCCTCTCAGCCAATCAGAGCGACAGCCGCGAGCGGACGGGCTTGTCTCCGCGTGCTTGGTACACGTGAGCCGCGGCGCTATTGTACAGTCCGGCGGGAGGCAACGTGGGAAAAAAACTGCACACTCACGTTTTCATTGGATTATTATTGAGGAGCGAAATGCAAAAGACACGCCATAACCTTGCCACTGGGACAAAATACGAACGTAAAGATGGCGAGCTGGCAGCTATCTTAACTGCCGCTATTTTACGGGTCGGTCACGTTAGCGCGTATGCTCACTCTGGCAGTGCTATATCCGCGGAGTAAACAAACAAGAACAAGTGACAGCAGCCGTCTCTCCTCGAGGTGTGGCACGAGAGTGGGCGTTGCTCATAAATAATGGAGCAAGTTCGGAGGGGATCAGTCAGGAGTTTTGGCCAACCCTCTCCGGGCTTATTCCGCGACGTTTGACGTCACGTGAGCCGCCCGTGTCCGTTCCATCTGAGCTCGAAGAGGAGGACGACGGCTTCACACGCGCGCACACATACACACACGCACAAACCCACACACGCACACACACACACTCACACGCATACAACACGCGACACAACACACACCGCTATGCCCGTGACCGGAGCCATCGGGTTCAAATGAGAAAGAGTACAGACAGAGAAGGAGGAAACGGCCCCCCCACCTACCCCCGACACCCACTCCCATCACCACTCGGTCCCTCCTCCCACTTCCACGCGACGGACAAGTGAGCGCGAGCCCAGAGAGGAAAAACATCAACTTGTCATTTGAACAACACCGACACTCGTCGATTCCTCATCCATTTCTTCCCTCCTCGCCACCACATCGATCGGCACTTTGTTTTGGAGACTTTTCGACAAGATCCGTCGCTCCGTTTTTTTTTGAAACAACTGGATATCATTTGCATTTTTGTTTCTGTTGCGATTTCACGCATTGCATTGTGTTTTTCCCCTACGCCACTAAATTTGGTGAGATTTTCCACTCATCTGATCTTCCCACACTGTGCTGAGAATAACAATTTGGACCCCCGTCCCCCACTCACCCGAGGAGTGCAATGGAATACCTCGAGGCAAACAGTCCTGCAAGGGGATAAAGGGAGGTTGCTTGTCATCTCATCGAAAAAAAGGTAATAAAAGCTGCATGTATGTTAATACTATATTCGTCATTATGATTCTTTACAGTAGCAGCACAATAAACAACTCTCCTCCACCTTCTCCCCCCCACCCCCTCCTTCACCCCTCCGCTGCATGTACAGTCATCCAAACTCCTATTGGTTGCTCCCTGTGGTCATCTTACCTCATCCCTTCCCAGTACACCCCCTTCCCACCACCCACCTCCACCTCACAGGTGTCTCTTCGTGAACAGGATGTCCAGGCAGCTCACACAGCTCCCCACCCCGGACCTGCCCGCAGGTGCTAGCCCACAGTTTGGGAGTTGCACCCAGCCGGCGGTTTCCCTCACTGGGGGGCACCTCAACTCCATGGCGGGTCTCAAATCCCTCCTGCAGCATCCCATGAAGGGGGACCAGCGCTTGAGAAGCCCCTGTGATCTCAAAGGTGGGCTGTTGTTTATGTTGTGCACCACGTGACCCCCGCCTACAGCAATGAATTCACCGTTCCACCTGATGCTGCGCTATCAGTACAAAGATGCGTCATTAATCCATCAAAATTCATGATAGATGAGCCACCGCATAGCATAATCCCCGTTCCCTTGGATGAATTACTTGGCAATAACAATCCGGATTACAATGTGCGTTTAAATTCAAGGCTCACATGCATTCTGATCTCCCGCCATGGTGAGGACAGCTCAGGAGCTTGCCGGCCGCATATACGCCGTGATAGCGAACTGGTCCTGGCTCTCGTATTAATACGGTGCTTCTGTTGCCATCTGTTCCATCTGCGAGTTGTGTGCTTGTGCGTGGTGGGTGGTTGGAAGCATATGAAGGAAGTAGTGTCCAAGCTAGTCTCGTGGAAACATTGTTTGAATTAGATGGGTGGTCGAAGCCACGTTTCCACTGAGCGATATGGTTCACTTCGATTTGGTTCATGGTGCGAAACCCTGATCTGTTGACCAGTCACACGCAACATTAGTACACCCTCACAACTCGGACATTGGAACCCAAAAGGCGTGCCACACCAAAATGAACCAAACCGTTTGGAACCAAACTCTACCGCTTGCTGGAAATGGGGCTTAAGGCTCTCCATCATTCATTCTCCGAGCCTCGTACAAGGGTCGCAGGGCGTGGTGGAGCCCATCCCAGCTGTCTTCGGACAGTCGGCGGGGTGCACCCTGAACTGAACAACCATTCACGTTCACAATCACACCTAGGGACAATTTAGAGTACTCAGTTCACCTATCGTGCATGTTTTTGGAATGTGGGTGGAAAGCGGGGTACCTGGAGAAAACCCACGCAGGACCGGGGTGAACATGCAAACTCCACATAGGAAGGTCGGGGCCGGAATCGAGCCCTATACCTCTGTACGCTGAGGCGGTTGTGCTGACAGGTCGACCACCTTGCCACCCTCAATTTGGGAGACCCTACAGGGCATAATATCGAAGGGAACTAACTGAATGTTGGGCAAGGAACCCAAAAAAAGCAGACCATACCAAAATAAACCCAACCATTCAGAACCAAGCACTGCCGCTTGCTGGAAACGGGGCTTGAGGCTCCATTACTGTCTCTGAAGATCCAATTTCGTAGACCCCGAAAGACAAATTGTTGGGCTACAAGTTGCAAGTTTGACAATACAAACTCAGAACAAGGGTACCATTGCAAAGTGAAATGGGGTTCAAGGCTCGAATTTTATCACTCAGGCTACAATCGAATACACCCAAATTGGTGAGCTCCGAGGTGACTCTTCCTTTTACAACCCTGACAATAGGAACCAAACCAAAAACATACCTCCCACCCCACCGAATTGAGCCAAAACGTACGGCTCGCCGGAATCGAGTCTTCAGGCTCCATATCGATTCCCCCAAATACAATCTAAAAGACCTGACAGTGGGCTTTGCAACTTTGACAAGAGGAACCATTAAAAGCGCCCCAAACCAATTCTGACCCAAGCTCCACTGCTTGGTGGAAATGGACTTTGAAGGCCCCCATATCTTAGCATTTAATGGACCCTATCGGCTCTCAGGTGACTTAGCTGAGCAACTTTGACAATGGGAACCAAAACAAAGCAGACTGTAGCAAACTGAACTCAATCATCCTTTCGTCTTTTTTTTTTTTTTGCGCCTGCATTTGCAGTCTCCGTTTTTAGCCCCGAAGGGATATTGGCGGGGCTTCAAGGTGACCGTTGGAACCTTGGACCAAAGTTCAAGGGTGTTCCCAAGTTGTAAAACTCAAAGGTAAAAAGGTACCAGCCCAAGTCGCAACATGATAACCCCCGCTGGTCCAAATGCTCGGCGTCACCTTCAAAGCGAAAAGGCTCCATCCTAAAATCCTTTTTGGTTTTCCCCAAAGGACTCACGTTGTCGCTGATCCTGATCCTAACCATGTGCTCCTCTTGTTGATCGTTAGACAAAGAGCGATCAATGGACCTGGACGAAGACTCGATGGGAGTGTGCTCCATGAGGAACACGTCCGGACTCGGCGGCGGCGGCGGCAACGGATGCAACGGCGGAAGCGGCGGTGGCAATTTCAACCAGTTCCTGGGCCCCCTCTTGTGGGATCGCACCCTCCCGGCGGATGGGGGCCTCTTCCAGCTGCAGTACATGGACTTGGAGGAGTTTCTGACCGAAAACGGAATGGGCAGCATGCACAGCAACAACAGCTCCAGTTCGGCGCAGATCCCCTCTCAGAGCTCCCAGTCCGCAGTGCCCAACCAGAGTTCCCAGTGCCTACCGCCCCCGTCCCCGCCTGGCTCTTCGTCCTCATCGCCTTCGTCTTCCTCCTCCCCGTCCCTGCTGGGTTTGGAGGTGGCGCAGCCTCAGAGCCTGACCGGAGGAAACGACTGTCTGCACGGTGAGTTTGCCGACATGAGTCGAGAAGGCTCGGGAACTGGGGGGCGCGTTGCTGACAAATGCGGTTGACTTGAAACACAGATATGATGCGTGTCATCTTCCCACGGGCCAGTGAGGGAATTTGAAAAGTGTATAGCACTGTGACAAAGCACTTTTTGGTCCCGTGGAATCAAAGTGAAGGCCCGAGATACTGTCACGGGGCTTGACAAGAGCATAGAAATAGACTTGAGCATTGAAACAATGCCCGAAATATCCCCCCCCCCCCACCCCCGGGTTCAAATCTGCTCCCTTTAGCTCCTCCGTGGCGAGCAAAACAGACCACGAGATTGAAATATTATGAGTCAGCTTCAGGATTTTGCATGTGATCAATGTTCCCCAGTGTCTGAACACGATCAGCGTTCAACCCAGGCCAATTATTAATATTCGCCGTCATGGGAGGCAAGCGGGGTCAAAACTCTTTCTGGAACCGAGACAGCAAGAGAGCGAGAGAGAGAGAGAGAGAGAGAGCAGCGCGTGGAGTGTTTATGATTGCGTGTCTTTAAATCTCCCCTCACTTCACACGCCACGGCCATGTGCACGCGTCGCTACACGTGCCGAGGCTGCCTGAGTCGGCTGGAGTGAGAGAACTCGAGGCGGGCCGGTACACATGGAGGAGGAGTCCACACGGAGGGGGGGAGGGGAGGGGAGGGCCGCGTCGGGCTACAGGAAGACGGCCGCTGCTGGAAACTCTGGACATTTGATCGCCACAGAATAATGTGAGCAAATATCTCGGTGCTGGGGTCCAGGTTGAATAATTTGACCCTTGAGACCACGGTCGTAGCCCAGCGCTTGAAATGAATCTTACATTTTTGCCTTAAAAAAAAAAAAAAGAAAAATCAATGTCATTACATTCGGTCAATCTTCATTATTATCGTCAACGTTCTTCTGTGATTGGCTCGGAGATTCACATTCCTTCTCCGTTCGGACTGCCTTTCAACACGTTGCTTGGCATCCATTTTGTCACGTTACCAAATATGGTTCCTCGGCCTGTCCCGTGAGAGAGCCGAACACGTTAACGTCTCTTACGGAAGCTAGCTCCAAGCTAAGCCTTTACCTTCAAGGGCAAATTGGGCTCGTTCGAGCGTGAATCTGTGCTGGAGTTCCAGCTGGGAAAGATGTTCCAGTTTGAAGGCCCCGGGCACATTCCGGCACAGCCCTGCGGCCGCAGGTGGCGGCTGCACTGACCGCTTCCTGCTGGCAAGTGCAAGCCGGGAAGGAAATAAAAATACCACCAAAAAACAAAACAAAACCAAAACAAACAAATTAAAAACAAAAAAACAATTTCAAACAATTAAGGCTTGATGGTGGACAAGTGTGACTTCCGACTTCATTGATGAATTGCATCATCCCTTTATTCCAAAGCAGGACATCATTTCAAATCGACGTGCCGAAAATGCACACACATAAACTGATTCTGAGTCCCTTACCGGTTGGGTTTGTCACATGTCCGAAAATCGGCAAAAAATGTTGATCGTTGACTTTCCAAAGTCAAAACAGATGCTTGGAAAATGTTTTTTTTCAAATAACACCAAAGAGAAACAGTCTGCAAAACAGCGCATGACCTTCTGTGATCGTTTGGGATGATGAAACATTCGAGCGAGTCACACTGACCCATCAACATTGTTAAGAAACAAACGCGACGACACGAGGCTTAAGTTGAAGTCTCGTCAACGATTCGTCGACGATCAAAATATTTGGCGCGATGATCGATTAGTTGTCAATCAATCGATGACCTGTTGCACCTCGAGCTCGTACCTTCACCCTTTCGAGGACAGCGGCTGCTACAGTGGACAGCTTCTCGTGTTATCAGGTTACGGGGTGCATGTAAGGCACATTTTACATTTGGCCCGCATCACAATCGCAAAAACTGTCGACTGAAAAAAAAAGTTCTTTGGATTTACTTCATGTGGACATGATGAAAATGTGTTCAACTAACATGTAATCAAATTAATATTTTCAAGGGACAGAGTAGAAACTTAAGGTTTTTGAATTATGTGCCACCAAAAGTGAAGCGTTTTTTAATTTTAATTTTTCCAGGGCTTTCACTTTCAAGTTTTCAGGACTCCGGCTATTTTGCGTGCCTTTCTGGTCACTGTGCGGGCACTGTTTAACTTTCATCAATGGCACTGAGCTATGTTTTCTGCATTTTCCTTGAGAAACTACTAAAATCACCCCCTCCCCCCAAAAAAAAATCCGTTTCGGGGTTATTTTGTTTTTGTAAAGTCCTCTTAGAGACCCCAAAATGGGGATAATTATAACTCAAGCCCCCACATAGCAGCATTCGCAGAGTCACACATGAAATGTTTTTGTTTTATTTTGGTTGTGCAAGCTATCTCTTTGTCACTATTTTTGTCATCAGGCCAAAGCATGTCCAATATAAAAAAATAGTACTGCTTTGGTGCCAGTTTGTAGTCATTATAAAGCTTTTTGTTGGGGTGTTAATTGCTTGCAGATTTAGTTTTCATTTTATTTATTTTCTTCGCAGCCATGCCCCTGAGAAGTATTTGGTGGGCCGTAGAAAATATACCAGCGGGTCGTATTTGGCTCGCCTGTTCGCCTGTTCCTTGAAAAGTGACCCAGACTTGTCATTCAAACAGATGAACGTTCACCTGAAACTCCATCGCAACCAGCTGCTTTATGCACGGACGTGTGGCCATCTGGTTTTTCCCCTGTGTACCGCTTAGCATGCCCTGTCAATAGCATCACAGCCAGGCCTGGCTAATATCGACTCACAGCTCTATTTCGGTCCCACGTCCATAACAAATGCCCTCCACGTGTCACGTGCATACGGAGGTTTGTTTGTTTGTGCGACTGTCTGCGGTGCACTGAAGGTACATCACACCTTCAAGCCGTCGGAGGGTTCAGTAAAACCCTTTTGAGGCCCCTCTTCATTCAACTCGTTTCAAGGGGAGGGGTAGCACTTACATAACATTTTCCACCTTTAGATCTCTCTGTCCAAACCTCGACAGTAGTTTGATTGATAAGCTAGTAGTAGTAGTAGTAGTACAAGTATTTCTTGCGTAATAGATTATTCATTTTCGAGATGGGTTTTGGCTGGAATGCAGTTAAGGCAGCTGGAATGACATTTATGGCACCGAGAATGTATCCCTCTCGCTCCCCTTAGTGGCCACTTGTATGTAATGCTTCATGTGTTTTCTAGCCTTTCCCTCGCCAAAGCACATCCAGAATTTTTCGCAAGAACAATCGGAACCCCAAACCTGTGACAAAGTGTACATACACTTAAATCATAAAACAATGGATAATTGCAACTTTTGCCCTCTCGTGAAAGTGCATTTACTCACTCTGCCTGCCACAATACATCACTGGCACAGAGAGTTGAAGAAAGATACAGTGGACCGATCAGGCCTGACCGACATAAATTTTGGGGGGGTTGGTAGAACTAAACGCCATGAAGCAATTCATCAGTCGGTACACAGAACTGACGTCTTGTCTCGTCATCGCAGGGAGCCAGACCAGTATGAACGACTCGTGCGAGTCGCCGTCCTCCTCGTCCTCCTCGCCGTCGTCCTCCTGCCCGCCCCTGCTGACGCCCACTAGCGTCGGGCCGGACGTGGCGGGAATTTTCAACATGGATCCGTCGGACATGGTTCTGTCCAACGGCCCCGATCAGCAGAACTTTGACCCCAGGCAGACCTTCAGTGAAGAGGAGTTGAAGCCGCAGCCCATGGTGAAAAAGGCGCGCAAGATCCTGGTGCCTGATAACATGAAGGTGAGTGACGTGCGCCATCTTGACACTGCGCGCGCACATTCAGTGGTACCTCTACTTACGAACGTCTCTTCAACACGAAATGTTGAAGTTACGAAACGTCTCAACAGGAAAATATCGCCTCGTCTTATGAAAGACATTTCAAGATATGAAAGATAAAAAAATACAGTATGGTCGGCATCTCGCAGCTCCGAGTTTTCTGAACGCAACATACTGATCTGCTATTCTGCTATTGACTATTACCGAGCACCCTCCTGGCATCCCATTGGCTAAGAGGGACTTCTCCCCTTTATGTCTGTATGTGGATAGATAAATAGATAGATAGATCTGTGTCTATGCAACGTCCTGGTCGTTCGCCCCTCGGGCCATGAGGCATTCCCATAATTTTACGTAAATGCGAATCATCCAGAAAAAGTGTTCACCAGTTTGCCTTGGACGTTTTCGAAGGATTGTTAAAAGTCGACAAAAGCAAACGTCCTTGGATCAGTTCATTACAAAACACCAGGCAAAAACCACTTCTGAGAAAGAACATGGACGAAAGACGGCAAAAAGCGATGAGGACGCAGTTACAAGTGAAATGACCATCATTTTTATTCTTTGCTCTATTCTTTGTTTTTTACATGATGCACAACTCTCATTTATTGTGCAATAATCTAATTGTAACATGTATTTGTTACATATTTTTTTGCTTGAGGAAACATATATGTCTGAATTTTGGGGGGGCTTGGAACGAATTAGGGCATTTACATGGAAAATGCATGTCTACTTACATAATTTTCTAGTGAAGAAATTTCTTCCAGAACCAATTCATTTCATAAGTAGTGGTACCACTTGATCCCAATTTGAAATTGAGATTTTTTTTTAAAATTTTTTTTTTATGTTCAATTATATCTGAGGTGGATATAACTGTGGGAATGGAAGAATGCAGATTTGTTTTGATGACTCTTTAGTTTCAATTTGTGCCCGTCATGAACATATGCAATCGGTAAGTGTATATGTAGACTGAATATCGATCTATCTATCGATCTATCTATCGATCTATCGATCTACTTGAGCTTATCCTTCTTTTTAACTCAGTCTATGTATTTTTGTTTTTGTTTCATTGTAAAATGGTTTCAATGTAATTCATGTATACTTTTTTCTTTTCCTCTATCTCCCTCTCTCTATCTCGCATCTTCTCTCCGCATCTCCTGCACGGGGGGCTCCTCAGGATGAAAAGTACTGGAGCAGGAGATACAAAAACAACGAAGCGGCAAAGCGCTCCCGGGATGCGCGGCGCCTCAAGGAGAACCAAATTTCGGTGCGCGCCGCCTACCTGGAGCGAGAGAACGCCGCCCTGCGGCAGGAAGTGGCCGAGATGCGCAAGGAACTGGGCCGGTGCCGCAGCATTCTGAGCAAATACGAGAACCGTCTGGCCGACCAGTGATGAAGGAGGACGATGACGACGACGACGACGAGTGAAATAAGCTGGATTCCTTTTGTAAAACTTTGAAATTTTGGGGGGGATTACAGGACGGACAGGTCTGGAATCATGATGACGATGACGATGATGATGACGATGATGGTGATGATTTTGAATGTATTCGGGGGATGAGGAGGAGGAAGGCGTGCGGACCGCAGCTCAGGTGTCTTGTTTTTGTCGAGCTCTTAAAAGTGACGGCGGGAGAGAATAATTTAACAGATGTGACTTTTAAGGGTTTTGCTATTGGAGAATTGTATATTTTTATAAGACTTCAGAAAACAATTAGAGGGAGAGTAGAAATTTGGAAAATAATTTTGTATATTTTCTACATGACTACAGATGGGGGGGGGCGATATCTTATGTAACGGGGGTCAGCCATGAATGGGTATTTTCTTTTTTTTTTGGACTGGTTGATTCATGCGGGGACGCTGCGGCGCGGGCGAGGACGCGTGTAACAGTTGTAATATAGAGAGCAAAAATGATCTTCACATCGTGAAGGTCAACATTTTTGTTGAATTGACTTTTTGCAAGCAACGCAAGCACTTAATGTTTTCTTTGATTTACCCCCCTCGAGTCCCACCACATTCTCGTTATATTTTGGAAAGTTCAGTTAAGACATTTGTGCATCTTTCAAAAAAAAAAAAAAGAAAAAGAAAAAAAAAAGAAATAGACAATCCTCTGTAATTATAATCTCCTTTACTACCCAGGCTAATTGTATCAGACTGGTACTTCACTGGTGAAAGTCATCGTGATGCTGCTTCTACTTCTACACCTTTCATTCCCATTTTCTCTTTTAACACTAGGATGATAATATTTCCCCAATTTTTTTATTTTTATTTTTTTACCTCAATGGTACTTAACACCAAAACCTTGACTTTTTACTTTTAAAGCGTCATCATCCTTTAATAGGGCAAATCAAAATGAGAGTGTGCTTTTTAACCCAACCAAACAGTAAACAAAGATAATTCCAAATAAAAATAGACGACATTGATTTTTGTCATGATAACTATTTTTGCAATTCAGAATATTTTTAAAAACAAAGCGTTTCTCAGGGCAAACGTTTTTGCTACGTGCTCCAATCGTTTTCTGGAGTTGAAATTGTCCTTCAGTGAGTGTTATCGGAAGGGTCTTTGCTATTTTGTGCATCTTCCTGATGATGCGTCTCAGATTCCAAGCCAAGATTGCGTCTGTACTTCTTTCTTTCAAGAATTCCCCTCCTGCATCTAACAAACTTTCTGTACCAACACCGTGTTCAGCTGGACAACGTGAGAGTGCGATTGTAATCCCTGTCATGAGTAATCACCATGACTGCTATTCTTCTTCTTGTTATGATTATTATGACGATTATGTTATGGTTGTTGTTCAATATTAATGACTGTTTTTCTTCCTTTGGATGAAAATGATCCACCTTCAAGCACCTTGATACAGTGTGTGACCTCCCCGAAAAGAAAGACAATGATCTTCTCACTCTTTGGTATTCCTCAATATGGCCCACAGACAAAACTGCTTGAATGGAGTTCACCATTGTGTCCCCCCACTGCCCCCCAAAAAACAAAACAAAACATGCCTTTCTTTCCAGGACGAGCTCCTCACGAAGCAGCTGGACTTTGCAGGGCGTTGCCCCTTGGTTACTTTTCTTTCAGCAATTTCTCACCTGTGTCAAGTGGTGGTTTGCGCTCTCCCAACAGGACTGTTCTTGACATTTTGACAGATGTGCTTGATCAATCTATAGAGTGACTCTACATCTGACCCCCCCTCCACCTCCACCCCGGTGACATCAGTGGGCTCAGCCATGTCCGACCCACTATGTGCTGGTTTTATGGATGTAGTTGAGATTTCCCCAGGATGACACCAATAAAAGATTATTCTCATTCACCAACTCTCTGATTTGTCCATACAGTATTTATGTCATGTTTGCTATTATTTTCCATCCATCCATCCATTTTCCGATCCGCTTATCCTCACAAGGGTCATGGGGCATGCTGGAGCCTACCCCAGCTGTCTTCAGGCAGTAGGCGGGGTTGAACCCTGAACCGGTTGCCAGCCAGTCGCAGGGCACACACTCACACCTAGGGACAATTTTGAGTGTTCAATCAGCCTGGCATGCATGTTTTTGGAATGTGGGAAGAAACCCACGCGGGCCCGGGAGAACATGCAAACTCCACACAGGGAGGCCGAAGCTGGAATTGAACCCGGTACCTCTGCATTGTGAGGTCGACGCGCTAACCACCGGATCACCGGGCCGCCTGCTGTTATTTTATTTTTTAAATTCTACAGTAAGTCGCTTTAGAGTTGTAACAGACACCCCCAACCTATCTGTAGCCATCCAACTGACACAGACCTCCCCACCACGGAGGAGAGGAACAAGTCAGCCTGTTTGATGTCCACTCCTATCCTGATGACTAAATTCTCCAAATATGTACTCTTTACATTTGACAGTATGTATTCATGCCCTCTCCTTGCTGACGTGAAGGTTTTTTATTATTTATATTTATTTATTTATTGGGGGGGGGGGGGACTACACAACAAACCAAATCTGCCAAAAATCAACTTGAAAAATGCCAACGGCAGAAATGGAGATCCGGGCCTGGTTGACAAAATGGCGGCCATAACCCATGTGACTTACTCATCGACAGAGGAAACCATGGTGAGTTTAAAGTAGGATTGAGCAGTTTATTGGAATATAATAGTGATTTTTGACTTCTCACGGCCATCAAAGCACTATAATTGCAGAAAACTGACAAACGTGCCGAACGGCGGCGTGTTTGTTTGAAGTTAATGTATTTTCCCCAAACACCCTGAATGCTCCTGATTTGCTAGCGACATGCATGTGACGAATGTTCGTTCTTCTGGCTTCCATGAGTGTGCTTTAAGCCGTTTAATGACGTCACAGTTGGAATTCACGGTAAAAGTTTTAGAAACATCGCCGATGCTAATGCGAATCAAGTTAAAATGTACGGTAAGATCCCATTGACAGGCTAACTGTTAGCATCAAGTTCCAGGAGTGAGATTCATTCAAATAATGAATGTACACGATCGCTTTACTAACACGTGCAACCAGGTAACACAGCAATACTCAAAGGTGTCTATTCTTCCTAAGAAGTGAAAAATGCGTTATATTAATATTATTATTCATATTATTTCGCCACTTTGCTCTCCTGCTTCTTTTTAATCATCATGAGTGTATCTCTGTGTAGGACCCATACTGCCCCTACGAGGCCAAGGCGGGCACAGCATGAACACCAGGTAATTATTTGTATATACTGTATTGTATTTTTTTGCTAGTATTTTCAGATTCCTTATTTTACTTTCACTTTATTACTTTACTTTTACTCTCTTATTAACACAGCAGGAACAGCAGATAATTATTTCTATTTATTGTGTTGGTATTATTTTCATTTTTAAAAATTTTACTTACTTTATTGCGTTACTTTTACTCTTTTACTTAGTTTTGAAATCGGTGAATAATCAGTGGATGGAATATTTTCAAGCAACTTAATTCAATATATTCAAGTGAATACAATAATGATATGTCAAATATAGTTTCACTAGCCTTTATTTGTTGTTTTTACCCAATACATTCCGATTGAATTAAATGTTAATTGAATTCACTTTTAGCTGCCGACCCTCCTGAAATGGGTGAAAGGTCCTTCTGAGTGAAATTTTGCCTTTTTCTCCTCCTCACCACAGACCGCATGTGTCACAATCGCTCACTCCCTTCCAAAACATCCCTCATTTTCTTTTTGAAGAGCCTCCACCCCCCACCCCCCTGTCCTCCCCTCCCACTCTTCCCTCTTCCCTCCAAAGGTCGTGTGTAGGCATATCCCACCCTCAGAAGGTCGCAGGCCTGGCTTCAAGGATGGACTGTGCACTGCTGCTCCTGTCCCTCATGTGCGCTCTGACTGCAAGCGTGACGCCGCAGGCTACCGCAGGTACAGTAAGCCATGCATCATCGGCAAAAAAATGAAAGAGTGATATGACGGCTATCCGTGCTGAAGACAGTTCAAGGGTTAAATCAAAGTTTGAAGTTAATTGTAATTGCACGCTACTCTAAGGAGAGAGTACAATCTCACGATTTAAAAATCAAATCCGTGAAGACACGATGCAATATTTATGCCAAGCATGCAGAATTTGCCTTGTATTTGTCATGTAAAATACGTATAAATATGAACTGCACTGCAATCATTCAACGTGTTTCACAATAGTATATGTGCCCTCCGCATATGTACTGTACACTGTGTTTCCGTGATGAGTGTTGGTTGCATGTGACCGTGGCACGTGTGTGTTTTGGTTTTAGAAGAAGAAGAAAAAAACGTGATTCCATGTGTCTGACATACAGCAGCGCACACATGTTTTCATTCCTGGACAGTAATCACATCTCCTCGTTTCGTGCCCTCTTCTTCCTCCAGTGTTGTGTCGGTCGGGAGGTTGGCACGCTACTAAAAACAAGGATTTGGCTGTGGGACATGTGATATGGTGGCTTATTCAAAAAAAGCACGAAAAATGAATGAGGCTTTGATAAAAGCAACTAAAAGCTGTGATGCCACTTCTCTGGATTAAAAAAAAAATCACACAAACCCAAGCACCATCTGTTCATCTAAACATACATCACACACATGCACACAGACGTATAAGATCTATTTCAATACGTCATGATTTTTTAAGTGCCCTTGGTTTCCCCAAACAGCGCTACATCAGTATGTTATTTAGTTGTATTTATTATTATTGTTCGGGATGAGTGCGTACTGCAACCAGGTTTCAGTATACCAGCTTCATTTCAAGGTATGGAGTAATCGTGAACGATGCCGATACCAGCAACTGATACAAAGAAAATAAATCGTACATCAAATAAGTCTTCTTTTGCCAGTAGTTGGTCCTCCACTGCGGCCGTTTGACACTTGGGTGAATCATCAAGTACGTCAGAAAGTCATTGTGTTCTTTGAAATTTTCTTGATCCTAAGTATTAATGGTATTGATGAGTCCTGAAGAATGATTACAGATACTGGTACTGGTTGGAAAAAAAAAAGTGGTAGCGAACTTCCCAAATTATGATGATACATGTTCATTATTTGATCTTCATTGAAATCAGGAATGGGCAAACTTTTGTGCTCGAGCACCAGCATTTGCCACAAATTGCTCACCCCTAATCGAATCACTCAAAAGGCAACCTGGGTGGTGAACATTTGGCCGGCCCACCCACACTGAATTCACTCCTTCATCAAACACAACACAGAGGAGAAGAGGCCAACAAAATCTCTTTGTGGACTTTGAGGTGTTTGCTGTTTTTACAAGTGGGGGTAGTCAGGGGCTG